TGATACGTTTTCGTACATCACTAGGGTATGATGGTGAATATAATATATACTTAAATTTTTATCAGTGAAAAAATGACTGCGCCAAATTTTTTGTATATTTGACCATTTTTAGTGCAATTTCGTTAAAATGACGTTTTCAAGACCATGTTTATTTATAAAAATTTGTAAGAGGTAAACTACACGTTGGATGGTAAAATAATAATGTGGTGATGATTATAATTTATACAGAGTAACGTTGGATAAAATTTCAACATGCTCCAAACGAAATTGTTTTAAGTAATTCAGCGTCAGTAGCGCAAATAACATTATTTATATATTATTATTATTCTTAGATAAAAAAAAAGTTTTAAAATGCAATGGTATTCCTAGAGATACTCTATTTGTGTCTAATTTTTAAAAAGTCAGATAATTTGTCTGCCTTTTTAACTGCAGCTTACGTGCTAAGCAACTTTTTCCTCAATACCACAAACGACAAAATCACCCATTTACAGATAGGAAAATAACAACCCAGTAATTCGTACGACGACGGAACACGAAATTCTTTAGGTAAAAAGTTCGAAGTCCCGAGTAGATTTTTTTTTTTTTTTTTTTTTTTTACCGCGTGAAAAGTGCAAAACGTAACAAGTTCGTGTTCGTTAATTAACGGAGCCTAAGGAGAGAAAAACTGGGGTATAACTCGTTAAGTCCCCCTTCGCGCTCGGAGCCTTGGACTACTTTTTCCTCGATTCCGTAGCTTTTCTTACCTCGCTTTTTGGCGTGCAGTTACTGGTTGCGGACTTTTCGAGGTTCTAAACGAAAATAAATATTTGATAAATAAATAACTCGCTGATTGATGCATTTTTTTACAAAATCGTGGTAAAAACTAGTTTGAATTTCCAAATTTTCGCGAGTATCCAATTGTGCTAAAAGAGCGATAGTTTGCAGCTGGAAATATGCATTTTTTTTTATCACACTTGGTCTAGTTTTTGTTTTGTCGTTCGTGTCACCATTTTATTTCAATAAAAAGCAAATTTAAATTCGAAAAAAAACTGCAGTAACGAGAGATGCAAAAAAAGTTCATTTCAATAGTACTTTAACGGTGAAAAATGATTCGGCAATTCTTATCGCGTTGCGGCCAGAGAAATATTGTTCAAGAGCTATAATTCAGCCCTTAATGGATACGCTTAACATTGAGTGGAATATTAATCAGGAATAAAGAGCACTGCGAGAGGGCCACGGTAATAGAAAATCCAAAGCGCTTCGTTGTGTGCATTTTTTCCTTTTTATTCTTTTTTTTTTTTCGACGAGTGCGTGGGCGAGGCATTTTGTACCGAAATAATAAATGGTCCATTTGGAGGATTCTGGAGCACACGTGTGTGTGGATGCGTACATATCGTACACTACATACACAAATGCACCAGTTGCGTAAACGTTCTAGTGCTCGAACAAAAGGTGGAAATAATGGAGTTGTGTTTTATGCAATTCGTATGAGCTGCGAAAAAAATGACCCTTCGTGTACATACCCCACCCCCAGCTCCGTGATAGAAATATGTTGTCACCTCACCGAAGCTGAAGGGATTATTCAGCTCTTTCCGTTGTTGCTCCTGCTGTGAAAGATTTGTTTTCGGCAACGAAAAAATGAAAAAAATAAAAAAATTCACCGAATTAACACGTCCTGCAGCGGACAATTTTAGCGCGCTCCATATCTCGTCGTCGGGTGGCCACACATTTTCGTCCAGGGCAAACGAAAATTTACGTTTTTCGCCGATCAAATATTCATGAACGGGAAAATAATAAAAAAAAATCCGTCTCCGTGTGTCCGCCACAGAGTCCTTTTTTTTTGGTGCCCCGGCAAACATAGCCCTCGTACCTACTTTCCGAAATGACGACAGAAGCCACACCTCCTTTGTACACGGCTGGAATTAATTATTCTTCCGGAGCCGAGAAGAAAAAAAAAAAAAAAAAAAAACGTCCCCGCACGCGAATTATTTTTAAATTCCTTTCCCGCACGCGCGCATAAATGCAAGTCAGCCTCGCCTTTGTCCTCCCTTCTCCTCTAATGAGTTTCGTAATTAGAGTCCAACACGTACCCAGAGCACCACGGAATTTCGAAAAAGCACTTCCAGCCTCGTGAGTTTTCCCATCCTCCGAAGTGACAGCCAAAATTCAAGCGTCTCCGGTTCAATAAAGCGCCACCCCTCCCCCCAGCAATCCTCCCAACAATGGCCCTCCCTCGCACGGTTATTCTTCTTCTTCCTTTCCCGGTCCCCTTTTTCTCCCCGAGAGCGCAGTAGACTCCACTTCCATTACGATTTCCTCCAGCTCTACCGGCGCTCCAGACTCGAAAAATCGATCACGCCGAGCTCAAACTGTCCGCAGTTTTTCTCACCACCGCGATAAAAACACAAGACGCCGAGGAGGGGCAAAAAGCGAACGAGCGTCGTAAAACAGCGGCCTCCCCCCGGTCCGACCGGGTTTAATTTGCCGGGAGAGCGGCAGCATTAGTGCCCGATACACGCTGGCTTCAGCCTTAGGGGGGGTCGTGCGAGCTTGATTAATTGGATGAGCCTAATCGACGCTCGGCCGGGCTACACTTGGGGTAATCTCGAATGGCGCGCTACAACCGAGAGTGGCCCATTAACCTGCAGCGGTATTGTACCGTTTCTTGGACTTTACTCGCGAGGACCGAATGAACACAACAGCTCTAATGGGATATACTCTTGCAAGTGCCCTCTCCAGTGTAGGTGTGATAGGGTCGGGGGCAAATGATTTTGGGCTTGGGCGCGTTTTGTGGTAAGTTGTTGTGCTTTACAATTACGGTGAATGACACAAACAAAGTATCGCAAAGTATCGGGTGATTCGCTCTTCTTGTCGATTTAACGTATATACTATATTTTCGTGGATTTTATCGCTAATTCGTGAATGAAATGTTATTTACAAAATACGTTTATCGCCAAATTGGGTCGCCGTGTGCTCTCTTTTTTCTCTCTCTCTATGCTATTTTACATCGTTGGCAATTGCTTTTCATTTTTCGTACAACCTTGTTTTTTGTCCTCTCCTCGCTCGGGCCCGTATAAATATGCACTGCCTTATTTTTACACAATTTTTCGCGACAACTCCAACTGACGCGGGCTGCAGCTGACGGTCTGGCGCGAATCAACGTCCAGCCGGCAGTTCCTTCCAATATGTGTACGTTGACGTGATTGGCTCTGAAAAAAAAAAAAAAAAAAAAGGAAACAAATATAACTCTTACGATCAAAGGTATATCGTGTATTGCGTAAAAAATTTTTTTTCGTGATAAAATAACGGGGCAAAATTTCTCAAAGCAAACTGCGTTAGCCGTTAAAATTGAAGGCAGCCGTAATTGTAATCGAGTTCTCCCCCATTGCGACGGAAAGGAGCTTGTTATCGCGTTTAACAGCAACTGTCCTTGCGAGCGTTTCCGCTATCAGGTAACGAAATTAATTTGAGCTCCGAGCGGTGAAACAGTGACCTCCTTGGCCACTCGAGTCTGAAAAGGAGGGACGGAAAATTTAAACGTAACGAAATACACCAGCAGCAAAAAGAACCTATTCGTTTGTCTGTCGTGTCAAACACAAGATCGCGCTCGCTGCGTTTCTTTCTTTTTTTTTTTTTTTTTTCATCGAACCTGATAACCTTCTTGCGCTTCGGTTCCCGCCAATCGCAGCTCCCCCGTACATGCATTTCCGAAAAAAAATATGTCAGATGCACGATAAACGATTTCGGCGAAAATCGCGCACCGAAGCGGGAATATATTTCAATCAAGTCCGAAAAAACAGAAAAAAAAGCGCGAGAGTCACGGGACGAATGGAACGAGGGGAGGGAGGGGCAAAGTTGCGCCGGAGACGCGATCTCGATGGATATTTAAATTCCGCGACTCGTGAAATTCGAGAGGAGGGAGAAAAGCTCGCACGCGCCGGCGAGAGGGAGTTTGTTGGATATTGATACTGTTTTATCAATTGCGCGTCGGGAGGATATCTCTCTTTCGCTCGAGCATTCTCGGATTTTTTTCCCTTTCTTTCCCTCCCTACCCTCCCCCCCTGTCCACCCTCGCTCTACAGTCGAAAAATTTCGCGCATGGAGAGCCAGTCGACGTTTCATGCATAAAGATTCAGGGGCTGCCTCCCGTGCGTGGGTATACGTACGTGTATCCACTCGCTGTGGAAATGGATTCCTGTTCGGGCACAACTCGATTACGTGTTTGTTAGGGGGTGAAAAGTTTCCGGGAAATCCAAAGTTTTCAAAGTATCGGAAAAAGCTACTGGGGCTTCCGTGAATTTTCAAATATGAACAGCTTTAATTGATCCTCCCGCACTTTCGATTTTGATATCAAATTTCTCGTGATGATGCTTTCCAACGGATGCCTTACAACCAAGTTTTTTCCTTTTTTTTTTCCCCGTACACAACGAGTTTTTCCAAACGCGATATCAGAGGGTGATCAACGCGACCCATTGATTTTCACAATACGGTGTCTCACATCGCATTTTTTAGTAAAGAGAGGGAGAATATTTGTTTTTTTTGCCTTTACAAACTCAGGATAATTTAGTGAGCCGGTGCCATGAGTACGGCAACGATGGGCTCTCTCTTTCCCCCCCGGCAAAAGTCCAGGCATTTGGTCCAGCGCCGTCGATCACCCCGTAATCGGCTCTGTTCCTTCATCGCCCCTCCGTGCCAATTTCCCCGCCCATATAATACACTCCGAGCTCTACAACAAGCCGCGATTTCATGATGCTCGACTGCAATCCGCTTCCCGCTGTGAGTTATATTTCGCCCCGCTCTTAATACAGCCGGAGGGAAAATTTATATTTCACCCCCACCCCTCTTTGCCTTGTTACTCTTGGCCCGGGTGGTTTGCTATTTGTTCAAACACTTATTACGGGGATTCGTGCATCGGTTACCTCGTCCCTGCTTGTTTTCGTTGGGCGCGTTCGAGCGCTTGGCGTTTCGGGTGATTGCAAAACTGTTGTTTGCCCAAGCTTTGTACGGTTCGGAGCTCTCGCGATTGGCTCTTTATTAAAAACTTAATAACTACCGGATAACCATCTCTTTGTCCACGACGCTGTTTCAAAAGTCGAATGAAACTCGCTTGCGTTAGCGGATGGCTCGATTGTAAAAGATTTTTATGCAACCAAATATTATACTTTGCCTCTTGATTTTACAAAATGGCTCGGACGTCGAGATATAACCAGCTCCATTTGCAAGTATCAAAATGTACACGAGCCAGCGCAGTATTCGTACTTTTAGTATCATGTAACGGATATGTTTCACTTTTATTTTCATCGTCAGAATACCCATTGGCGGAAGTGGAGGAAGAGCCGTTTAACTTTTCCTCTCAACTCACCCAGGGATTAAAACTAAAGGTTTTACTTTTTCATGCATTAACATAAAGTAAAATTTAATTTTATGATAAAAAGGTCGAAAATAATCGAGTTTCGCGCGTAACGATCGTAAAGACCGCCAAAACCGACCAGCGCGTACTCGAGTCGAGCCGAGAGAGAGGAAGCAATAACGCATCGAGAGTCAGCCACAGCAGCCACGTGTCGCTCCCAAACTCCCCTCCTCTGGGTACCCACGAATGCGACCAACGTAATCACAAATCGATAATTCAATCCACGACGCGCGAAACGATCTATCAGCGTGAAATATCAAATTTCCCTTATCGCCCTCGCACGCTCGTACTCGTACTAGCGCTGTTGTGGAGGAGGGGGGGGGCACTTAGTCCTCCCCCACTTATTTGTGTGCGTGGGCCTGCTGCTGTTGGTGCGGCAATCGCATCGGTTACGATAACACAGCTGCGATTATCCGTCATACCGAGGAAGCCCCGCCAAAAGCACGCGATGAGTGATAATATTTGGGAACACGCGCGCTGTAGATTTTTCATCGATAATCTTGACCCGTTGATATGGCCAACTCGCGTATACCATAGTTTGATGGTGTAGGAAATGGAAGTGGTGACACTTGAAAAATCGAAGGGGTGGAAAGGGGTGACTGAAAAATTTTCGCGTCAAGAAAGGAGAGAAACGAAAAAAGGGCAACGAGCGAGCCGAGTCAGTAGCCACAGAGTGGGACGGACGCCGGTGTCGAAGGTACGAGCGTGTACAGTCGGACGTGCGTGATGATGCATGGCGAGGAGATAATGAAAGCGCGCGGGCTGAGATTACAGAGGGAACGCGTCGTCCGGCCGCACATTCGAGTACACATACCACTGATGTGGCCGGGGATACAGGATACGCGCGCCAAAAGACGCGACCGAGAGCAGGACGAGCGTGTTAAATCAGCCCCGCGATATCTCTCCCGCTCTCTCTTGTAGTCGCGGTCGCGGTGGTGCACTGGTGAATTATACGCTCGATTTTTCGACCTACTGCACGACGCTCTGTGCACCGGGAGAAAGAGAACACTGACTACTCCTATGACTTGTGGCTGCCGTGTACACGGTATGCGTTGTTAAATCAAAGGCTAGTGGATGCACTGCATTGGCTGGGACTGGTTTCATTATTTTCTAGCGGGAAAGTGTATTTTATTGGTCGTGGAAAATTTTATTTTTCGAAGCTTGTTTGTGAATTTGCCACAATACAGTTTTTTTGTACACAAGTATTTTTTTTTTTTTTTTTTCCTTTAAATCTTAGTAGTAAGAATTTTGGATATTTTTTCCCATTGATAAAACTTTCTTGATCAAAAACCATACCGTTCTCGCACGAAGATTTACTAGTCTACAAAATTCAAGTTTAATGAGGTGGTAAGTTACTTGAGTAAGACTCGAAACTTGATTATGTATACGCGTTATGGATTTGATTACAAAAATAATGTAAAACTACTTGGATTACACTCTCAAGATTTAATGATGAAAAATTATTTTTCGGACTAAGTAATCATACTGAGAGTGGTCGCACTCTTTTTTCCAAAGAAATAAATGTACATAAGGTACATTCTTGTCCTACCATGAAATTCAGTAACAATCAAGAAAAATCATAGTATTGCGAACAAGTAATGTGATTGAATCAAGACATATTTCTTTCACTTTGTGCAGGCATGGCAGTACAGTGTGTATAAATACATGCAATCGATTTCCGATAATTCTAACGTGCCCGTTAAAATAACCATTTTCGTCGCTTAATATTGATAACGCGGATTATGCATGTTATTTCGGTACGCCGCTCCCCCCGCCCTTTCTCCCATACCTCCTTCTCGTACTAAACTTGAGCTCTTCCCCAAATTGCTGCTTGCCTGTACGTCACTTTAGCGCTCGCCTGGAATGTTTTGCTGCACATTTTCGCGTGGGAGATTGCTGGCGGCAGCCACTTTAGTGTTTACTTTGCCCAACAAATATTAATATTAGCTAACCTCACGCTTTCTCTCCTATTTAATATTCGTACTTTACAAAAACACAGCTCGTCTATTACACTTCAATAGTGTAATCATACGTTTTTGGCATGTAGATGTGTCCACACAATGAGTACATAAGTATAGTGTTTAATTTTGGTAGTGTTAAATTTGCTTAGCATTAAATAAATACGCATTTTACTGAGACGCTAGTAAGCAGCTTCATTTATTAAAAGGTTCAATGGTCGGACTTCCGCTTCAAAAAATAAAATGAGATGCCTATTTTCACACCGTATTTTATATGAACATCAAAAATATCACGTAGGCTGCCCATAAAAATGCATCTTAAGACTTGTACTACGCAAAATTATGGTGTTATAATCAAACAGTAAAAAATCGTGGCCTGGCCAAACGTGACTTACAGTACGTATTATAGTACTTCACAGATAGAGCGGTTTCATTGTTCGGGATTCCAATACTTACATCAAGTGAAACTTTAATTGTAATAAAAAAAATTAATGAGACTGAAAGTCTTACCATTCTTGGTTAAAGCAACTATTTTGTGATGTACAAGTATTTAATATCGATGGATGACCATATTTGATCTATAATACTGGTTTTCACGATACACGATAGGATAAGATTCTTTTCAAAGGAAGTAGCCAAAAAAATCAGTGCCTGACTCAATCAGACTTGCAATACATATTCTTGCAATGCACAGATAGATTGTTTTATCTTTTATCAAGATTCTATGACTTGCAGAAGTAAGAATATGGCCGTAACAAACAAAAGTAATAGAAATCGCCGTCAGACCATATTTGGCCTAAGCTACTAATTTTTTCAAATACTAACAAGTATCGATTCTTGATTGTAATCGACTCATACTACTTATTCTTGTGATACTCTGTAGCTGACTTCATTTTTATTTATGATTCTGGGAGTTACAACAAGTGAAAGTGTGGCCGTAACATAGCGAAGTAATAGAAACAAAAGACTGGTTATACTTGATCAAACTGCTTACTTTGATGAAATGCAAGTAGGTTATATTTTATTAATATTTAAATTTCTAAGGCATGTAACACAAGATCCATAGCTTTAACTATGGGATAGCAAAAAATGAATGTCTGACCAAACTCAACCTATACTACTTATTCTAGTCATGCAACAGTGATCACACTTTATCGTTTTTCGAGATTCTGATACACATATCAGGTAAGACCGAAATGGTAACAAATAGATGTAATTAAAATACATGTCTGACCATACTTGGGTCGAGCTACTGATCTTGTAACTAACAAGTAATAAGTATCCATGTCTAACCATATTCGACTTGTACTGTTATTAGTTTTCATATATAATACACAATCGAATTATCAGTATTTGAAATTTTAAAACTAGTTGAAAGAAATACCATGATTTTAAAGAGAAGCAGCTACAAAATAGCCTGATCCAACCTGGCTCATACTACTTATTCTTATAATGTATAGGTATATTGTACTTTATTATTATTTGGGATTATAAGACTCGTTATAACTGAGATTGTGGCCAAAACAAGTAGAATAGAAATCGTTGTCTGACCACATTTGGCCTAAACTACTAACTTTTTGAAATTCAAGTAGTGTAGATGTCTGGTCGTATTCGATTTTTCTACTTATTCTTGTGATGCACAATAGCTGGCATAATTTTTATTTGGAATTCTAAGATTTACAACAGGTGAGACTGTGGCCGTAACAAAGAAGTAATAGAAATGGAAGTCTGACCATATTTGACTTGAACTACTAATTTTGACGAAACACATTTTATTAATACACAAAATTTAGACGTTTGTAACACGAATACTATAGCTTCAAAAATCAAACAGTAAAAAGTGTGTCTGACTATATTTATCTTACACTACTTGTTATTCTAATGAAACCGTACAAGTTAAAAAAGTTATGGGTAAATTGAATCTTTTTCACGAGATAGGTAATCGTGAGCACCAAACGTGACATTATACACGTCAACTTAAACAAAAAAAGCTGCTCCTTTTTCTTTTAGGAAGAAGAAAAATTAAACAGACTTTTTTTTCTCGTTTACATTGTCGAAGTTTGGTACAGAAGCAACATTTTCAGTCCTGTTTATTTTATGGACACTGCTTTGGACGAGGGTTCATTCTGCGAGTTGAGCCCGGAATTCTTAGCGCAATGTTAATTATTGTTTAAAGCCAGAGTTCACAGCTTCCCTCGCCATTGCTGACCCTTAACAAAGATGCATTCCCGCGAGCAAGACTTTAAAATTACGTATTTTTGATAACTCCGGCTCGAAGAGTAGAGCTAAAAGCTACAGCGAGCCATCTTTTACTCGGTTCACCCGGCTTTTCGGTGCTTTAACAGCGTTTCGGTGTAAAACATCATCAGGCGGAAGAATAATAAGTACGTCGAAACGAGAACATTTATAAACGAGTAATTTTTGAGAGCTCATTAAATTCTTCTCGAAAACTCCTGGCAAAATCATTATTTTAGATTAAAATTCGCTGTTCGGTATATGTAATTTTAAGCTCGAATATTAAATTTAATCGGCAACTACGTAATACGGAGGTCCTATGAACAGATTGACATTGAAGTTTAATTAACTCCAGTGATTAAAAGAACGTCAAAATAATGCGATCTCTCATCAAGCGATTATTTTTTAACGATTTAATCGTAATACGCGACATTCATAGCCCGCAAGCACGAGGTGTTTTTTTTCCTCTGTCTACCAGCTCTAGTGAAAAATTTGAGCAATTGCCCTAATCATTTTCAACTTTCTTTTGTTCCGGTGTCTTTCTTTTTCGCGCTTTTTTTTCAGCTTTATCACGTCACGTGGATTTCACGCAAACTTGAAAACTTTTCACAAGCTTCTTATATAACTCGTTGAGTTCTCGAGTGCTCCTCCGAAAACTCATCTGAAACTCCAACGAAGAGAAAAAAAGGAAAAAAAAATATCACCGGGTAAAAATAAAATAAAAGAAGATTTAAGCGGACTTGGTATCATTTGCAATTATTCTTGGCTTTAATTGGCAGAGTTAAGCGATTCTGTAATACATCGAGTAATCGTAAATTTTATACAGTATTTTTATCTTGCAGTGGAAAATTTAACGAGCACACCTATTCATCAATTTATTATTGACGTTTGTAAAACTGTTTGTTAATTTGCTTCTTCAGCCCTATTAGCACTACGAATTTGCACATACTTCCACTCACATGATTACGTTTAATCATTTTATCAAAAATCATCGATATCAATATTGATAATTTTTTATTTAAAATACCAAGTATTCTTTAAACCATAAAAAAATTACTTTAAAATTCCAGGTACGTAATAAGTAAGATGTAAAATTGTTTTATGTACTTTGCGTCAGTAATTGTGTATTCTTCGTACACATTATTCATGTACATTGAATTAATTAATTTATCACGGTGTAAATAACAATATTTTCGCGACAAAATTCACGACTTATGCTGCCCGTCAATTAACGCATATTATCTTGTTAATCACGTTAAATATTGCGTCGAGCATAAATTTAATCACAGCATGGATCTGAAACTAAAAATTATCGATCCTTACCTTAGAACTGTCATCTGGAAAAGACGTAGCTAACAGTCAAATGGATAAGCCAGAGATTAAAGACCGATCGGGAAACCCCGTTCCCGTCGTGCACTGCAGCTGGCAGCTCTCCTGCAATACACAATGATAAATGGGATTTTAAAGCCGTGCTCTCTCTTGCGTGTACTTATTAGTTATTTAATTAGGAGAGGAAAACAAGTGAAACGTATGTCTACGTCAACGAGATCGATGCGTGTAAATTTGTAATGAAATTTCATCAGTATTGACAGTCATCCAAGTATTTTTGGTCCAATTGTAATTAGTGTGATACGTCAATTTCATAACCATCAAATCGATGGAAGGTATTATGGAACAGATGGTGGAAAAATCTAGGTTATTGGGTTCTTTATCAAAACCACGTTGCAGTGGTCTCTACGAGGAGGTCAGCGGGGCGCAAAACAAAATTTTCTTCTACCTCTGCTTCTATTTCTCCGTTTTATCATGGCGGAGCAAAAAATACGGGTGTGTAAAAATGCAGGGAGAAAAAGGAGGAAGAGCAAAGACTCTTCGGGTGAGTGATGGATCGAATGCGCTTGCGGAGAGGAGAAAATGGAAGAATGGGGGTGACGCTGAAAATAAAAGCATCGGTGTACTACCGACGCGCTGAGCCATCGGCGCCCGTATGCCCCTTCCAGAGACCACTGGGCTATTTGAGAACTCCTTTTTTTGGATTGCTACATCGAAAAATGCTCGAAGGATCATTCGAGCGTAAATCAAAGTTGGTTTTACATTTTTTATGATGTACACGTCGGTCAAAACTTCACGGATAAGGAAATCAATGATGGAAGTCATTATCATTTATTTTCGTAATCCAGCAGCAGTATACCGCGAAACTCTGAATTAGAGATGGAGATATCGAGCTGGAAACCATTACTATTCATTCAAACTTAATCCGTGACTGCCACGAGGTATAGGTGCTCGTTTTGTTCAAATCTCGCGCTACCACCACCAAAAAAAGATCACCTGATTTCGTTGAACGGAACAGTTGGATCGAAATACGAGAAGCAGCAGCAGAGGATCGTAGATCCTCCTCCCCACCAAACAACCACTACCCCCAAAAGCGTGTTTCCAGGGTGCTCTGCTTCATGAAACCAGATAACTCAAATTGACCGAGATATCTCTCGAGCTACTGCTCTATTTCTGGTAGTTGTTGAGGAAAGGGCAGGGGGAGGGGGTCGAAACGATCGTCACAGCAAGCCACCCCTTCTTTTTCGTGAACGGATTCTGGTTCCTTTTGTCAGATCGCCCCGTTTGCTCGTCCACTTTCCCCGCAGACATCGCCACCAATGGTCTGGCTAAGATCCAAAATCGATTTGGAATTTGTCAAATCTCTTTTTTCCTCGTGTGTCTTCTTCTCCTTCCTTCCCTTATCCCAACCTCCCCCTCTAGATTATCCTTCCTTCGCCTCGCTCTTTGACTCCTCCTGCCCCAAATGCCTCCCGTTGCTCTTTTCTCTTCTTTTTTCATTCCGGAAATTTCCGCTAGCGGACGTATGTATTTCACCGCTTTCTCACCTCTATCTTCCTGAAATCCGCCTCTTCTCGCAATTTTTTTTTTTACTTTTGATCCACACTTTGCCGAGGTTTAGTCGGAAGTCAGTTTCCACCCCAAACTTCTGTCCGCAGATTTATACTTGGCTCGGTTTAACTTTCGGTGCATCCACGATTTTTTACATTCATACCACTGATGCATTTGTCACTGTTGTTTCCTTTCCTCTCGTAACCAATCACGGCTGTGGATTTATTCAAGCTCAGAATACGGTAATGACATATTGTAAAGTGACGAACGTGAAGGGTACAATAATGCTAGTGATTAGAATGACTTGGATAAGTAAAACAACAGGTAGAATTGGAAAAGGTCTAAAATCAACAATGTACTTTTAAAAGAAAATTAATTTTCTTACAATCTTGCACCTTACAAAGCTTGAGCTTATTGTCTCTCTTGTTAGATAATTGTTTCCAAGCAAAGGTACGGTATAATAATTATGATTTTTGATTATTTCAAAGCTGCAGTTCATAATTTAATTAAGAAAGTTAATAATAATAATCATCATAATAATAATAAATTATACTAAAGCTTTAATAAAAAACAACTGCAGGTATCAAATTCAAGTCACTCCGTCAACACGTTATCGTACATCTACGTGCGCATTGGACGGGCACATTCAGTTTATATACCTTTTTTACACGCATTGCGCTTCAAAACGTGATAGCAATGAATAAAAAGTAGTGCCTATGCATGCATATGCTCGTCGTTCAGGAGAGAAGAGCTAGAGATGAATGTAGAGGAGAAAAAGATCAAAAAAGGGGGTTGAAAGGGAAAAGAGAGAGAGAGATCGAGTGGATGCTCGTGACTGGCCGCAAAACTCCTCTTTGGGGACAGAAAAATCTCGGAAGCAGCCAAGTACAGATGAAAAAAAAAAAAAAAAAAAAGGCCTTGAAGTCGTAAATATTGGTAGACGTCAGAAAATGCCCCGGTTAGCCAGATGAAAAAAAAAAAAAAAAAAAAAGCGAGAGAAAGAGATCTCTTGCAGAGGCACTCGTCTTAATCCGGTGAGTATTCTCCTTTCGGCCCACTCGCTACTCCTTTCTTCGCGATCCATCCACCCCCTCGACTTTTTTACACGCTCTCACCTACTCCTCTTCCTCCCCCAACCCCCATTTCACTGCGCACTTTTTCACGTTTAAAAAAAAGTAAATTTTCTCCCTCTGTGCAGTGCGATTCTCGGTCAGTCCCAAGGGACCCTCCCTCTTCTCTTCTTTGTTCAAGGGAAGCCGTCAAATGATTTTTCATTTATTGCATGAGCTTCTCTCCTCTTCTTCCTTCACTTCTACATACTTAACTTCTGGCTTCTCTTTTCGCTTCCCACGTATGCCAGTTCTCCTTTACCTCCAGCAAATATCTCGACTAACGACACTTGACCATTAAACATACTATCGTTTATAGAATAACCCTTTTCAACTCAAACTGTTGAGGAGATGCGTAAAACAAAGTATGGCTTTTTAAACTTGACCGAGTAGGTAGTCATAGTAGCACACCTGCATCAACTGCAAAGGTAAACATGTGCACCAAACAGAGATCCTGCGTTGCCCTAAAAGGAAAGTTGAGGGTAATTGGCCGAAGAATTGATGGGCTCTCCAAGTAAAGTTACACAGGTTCCATCGCTACTCTCCTTCTCCCGTTGACTCTCGTGTTTGTAGATTACACGTACGTACGAGTGATGCGAGCTTGCAGTGATTGCGGGCTTGGTTAGTGCTTCCTCTCGCCCTTGATTTTCGAAGACGCTCCCTTTGGTAATTAAATTGCCAACGCGGCCCGAGCTGCCGAGCAGTATGTCCTTCTTGCACCGAAATCCGCGAAACCACCTATTTTCGGGTCTCCCCATGTTTACCCGTATACGTTGCATATAATTGGATGTTGCTGCTGCTGCTGCTGTTACTCCAGTGGTATAATTACATGACCTCGTTTATACTAACTTCTTAATCGATTAAATGGAATTATTTTTACTGATCTCAGTCTCAATGGAGTTTCTTGTTTTAACTGCGTACATTGCCAATAGGGATTGTGCTAGCTGTACTTATCTGAGTGTCATCTAGATAGTAGTAATTAATCATACGTTCGAAATCATGGGGAGCAGCGATGAATAAGATATTATCTATACAAAAAAGGTCCTGCTGGTATTGCAAAGTCTCGTATCAGTTCTCTGGTGCTCTTTTTGAGGGCAGCAGAAAATTCCCTGCTTCGCGAATATTGCATCTTTTATTGAGCACTGCGTCGTCCTCTTTCACAATAAAAGCACTGCCGAGACTTGTCGTGATCCTATTACAAAACAGATCTCGCATCCCTGCCTCACGTTAGTATACTTTAGTTTCCACGTTAAATAACTATATATTACAGAAAATTTCAACCGATTAATTTTTGAAAATTTCTTAAAAGACGTTAAAAATGTTCTAGTTGAAATGACCAAAAAAGAGTGCAGTGAACTGGTTTATAAGTGTCACAAATAGCAAGAAGTTGTCCACCTTCTTATAGTAAGGAAAAATACGTCTATACTGACATAGTAGAGCTGTTTTTCCTTGGCTGTAGTTAATAGTAAGGATATTTTTACATATACTGCAAAGTTGTCATTACTACTGACAACATCATAGATTACGATATCGTTTATCGAATACATTATACGTGGAATGAAACTCATTAAGGGCATGCCATATTCAAAACTGAAAATTAAGTTTTTAGGCGGCATTAGCATATCTAATATTTCGCGATGGAAACATAAATGAGAGTAGGGCACGAGGGAGCGTTGGTAAACGAGTTTTGGAAAAGTTAGTTCCAGTACAACTCCAGGGGCACGACTGATTTGCATCTTATTTGCTCTCAATTTGCGAAATTAGTTATCCCCTCTTTGAAGTATTGTCATCCCTAAACTTTCGATTAAGAATCCAGAATTTATGTCCAAAGGCAATGATCGTTTACCCTAAAAGGCTGCACAACACATGAATGGATGGTCATTGCTATCACGGGATGACAAAATGTAAGCGACTCGAGGGCCCTAAGTGCACACGCTCAGAAGGTCCACTTAGCTCCTTGAGCTCGAGAACATTAAAAAATCCCTATCGTGAAGCCCAAGGGGTGAGTGGGAGGGGGAGAAGAGATAATTCAAGGCACGATAATCTTGATGCACACAAGAACACACCTACCGGATGAACAAATGCGCCACGGACCATTAAAAAATTTAAGGTCCGCATCCCACAGCTGCTGCTGCTGCTTCTGTTCCTCCTAAGTTTTTTCTTGGCGTCCGCACAACATTGCAGCTGCGCATTATCATTATTATTATTATTTTTTTTTATTTTTTTATTTTTTTACTCTCGCAGCTCGTTTCTCCTACGCAGGATAGGACGCAGTGCAGTTTTTTGTCCATGCACGTGCACGTGAACCAAAAGAAAGAGGGAGAAGGAAAAAAGGGGCTTGAGGCATATACATAGATAGTGTCTAGGTGTCTAGGACTTAAATTCACATTTGAAGACTTTTGTCCCACATCCCGCCGTACAAATGAGAGAGTAAGATATATTTGAATTTCATGGATCACACGAACACCCACACGCGAACAATTACATCGACTTAAGGTAGTTGTACAGCAAATTGAAATATAGGATAGAAAATTATGATATTTTGCAGGATGGTAGATTAATGCATAAAAATAAGAAATCTAAATTTTTGTGACCCGAGGGTACCTATAAAGGGAGATATTCATAATTATTTGCATGCCTTGAGTTTTTGTTTACATGCCAATTCAACATGGCGTCTTATGGGAAACCGCGGAGCTGTCTGTATATTATCATTCATATCGTTGCTAATATAGGATAGGTTCTGATGCCCTTTGGACAGTAGAAAGATAATTAAATGACAATTATATATTCGCTTTCAAAACCTTCCAAGGGTACTTGTGAGAAAAGTAATTAAATAGTAAAGCGTGAAGAACGTGCATTTGTGAGACGCTATTTGAAAATATGGCAACGCCGCATAATCTGATATTACGCGCGCGGTTTGAAAGGTAAATAGGTACATATGATTGCTCGTAAATCCTGATTACTGCAATCTCTCTTATAGATTTTCAATTATTGTTATAGGACGTATATTTTAAATAAATATGATAAATAAATATATAAATAATAAAACGAACTGATATACAAAGAACATCAAAACAATTTTATTGCCATATATTACTTAAAAATGAAATAAACATGTTATAAATTAATATTTATGTAATAAATATTTAACATTTATTTTTTAAATAATTAAATAGCCTATTTTTAACTTTATTATTTTTAGTTACTCGAATCGTGCCATTTTCATCAGCACCAAGTAGACTAGATAGGCCATCAAGGCCTCTTTGTTTATAAGCATCGATAACCATTTCTAAAGTAATGTCAGCAGTCGCTTCTCCTTTTGCTACAGCTGATCAACGAAGTGCTCCTTCTATGATGCTCTGAACACACACTTACAGGCACACACACATGACCTTAAAGCGACGTTGCCAGATCGTTCTACTACACAAATCAAAAAGTTTCATGACTCTTGCGGTACCTGTACAACTACCTTAAGAAAGAATAATGAAAGCTTCTGCCAAATGATCAAAAAAACTGGTGCTGTAACGGAGGGCGATAACGTTTTTGTCGGCACTTTTCGCAGTATAGCTCACTTTTATCCAGAAAGAGAGAGAGAGAAGGAATTGTAACGAGTATCCTTTTTCGTTCTCATTTTTATGCCAGCGTAGTCGCAACAACGATTTTTTCCTTTTTCTTTACTCTCCCACTGTGAGTCCAATTTTTTTTTTTTTTTTTTTTTTTTTTTTTTACGTAGTGGTGCGTGTAAGCAGTCTGCTCGTGGAGGATCATATTACGTCGCTTTGATACATCCGTCTGTAAGTCTCTTTATACCGTGTGTATTGTAAACATAAACAACTTTTTCCTACGAAAAATTTCGCAGGGGTAAGCAGGTTATTATTTTTTTTTTTTCAGCATAAACTAAACATATACTAATGGTAATAAACCTACTCACATTTTTTTCCAAATAATAAAAATAAGTCATAAAATTCAACCAAACCTTTTTATGATTTGTGAGAAGAAAAAAAGACACTCACCGTTCAGCACGTGAACTGCCACCGTGGCTCTAGCCTTTTCAGGTACGACGCAGCTGTAGTTTCCCGCGTGGCGTGGCGTTGCCCTCTCTATCACGAGCGTAATGACGATAACTTGCACCTCCCGGCCGTCCAGAGTGTCGACGGTTCGGTTTTCGCTGGAATTAAAATACGGCTTTTATTTTTAATGCTTACCCGTGATTGGAACTCTGTTTTTTTAATGGGAGGAAAGTTCATGGTCCATCTCGTAGATTGGAATAACAAAAAGGGGGGAAAAGAGGGGAAAAAGCAAGAGAGTATACGTATGAAAATTCAATTAAATCTTCAGGAGTCGCAAGATTATATGGCTATACAGTATGATTTATTTCTGTCTTCGAGAAGAGTGTATTGAAGATATAGTCATATTTAATATACCACGACTTGTAGTGAAACCCATCGAAGGCATAATAATATTAATACGTCAATGACGCTTTGATACTTACTTAACGTCTTCGCTGAGGATTTCTTCTCCTCTGGTCCAAATGACTGTCTCATTGTATTGCTCCGGAATGTCCCGAGCTTCGCACCGCAGGCGCAAAGCACTGCCGGCTTTCAAGTGCCGCTCGCCGGACTTTATTCTACCAGAGTCATCCATTATTACGAGTATTGGAGCTGAAAGATGAAAAACAATTGAATATAGGCGTATAATCGGATTAAGCTCGATTGATTTTTTTTTTTTTTTTTTTTTTTTACATAAGAATGTACGATTTTTATCGTGAGAATGCAAATAATTATTGATGGTGCAAGATTTTCTCAGCTGTTCTTGTGTATTGGATTAAGTTTAATGAATAACGGAGGTAATTTTGTTTAAAAGTTTTGTAACTATGCTGACTTGATTATTTCGATCAGAGGAGAAAGTAAGTTTATAACTTTGCTGATAAAACTTCACTAATGTACTTGAGACATTAATCTTACGATAACAAGTGTAGGGAAGTACTAATTTTGAAAGACTAAATTTGCGTTATAAAAGTATAAATGAATTAATATCGAAATTTTATTTGAATGAGTTGTTTGTATGCATAAAAACTCGAGTAAAAAAAATTAATTTGTTATTTATGGAGAGAGGAAACTGACACTGTCCTGTGCTGCAATAAATTAAGCACTACGAATTTGCTTGGAAAAAGAAAACGAAGCGTCATTATTAATGCCAAATTAATTACTTCAAACCGTCACGAACAAAGGCACTTCTTACGCTTTCTCTTTCTCGCGAGTATCACTGAAAACAGACACTCTCCTCTGATCTATTGTTTGTCGCTTCCCGCCTTTTAAAATTTTTTTTTCCTTTTCACTTGAAAGGGAATTGTTTTGCTCAAGCTCTATTAGTTAGACACTTATTTGCATCCTCTTTTTTTGTAATTAAATAAAGATAACGGGGAAGACTAAAATACAAAAAAAAGCAAGTGCCTGAAAAAAGGCAGCGTACAAAAGATCACGGCTGTGCTGCGGATAAGAGTTTTTCAGAGGAGTAAGAGGATAAGAAACAAAAACACACACGTTATCTCTTTTAGCTGGATTTTCACCACAAAGTCGGGAAAATTTTCTTTCAAGTGATTTGTCGTGAACTAAAATATGCTTCTAGTTATATATTGCGGTAGGCATTACTGCTCTTTGGGGATACATAAATATGTATTATAACGTAATAAGAAAAGATGTTTGTCCGTATGATTAAATAAATAATTATCTTTCATTCATAGTAAATTACTTGTAAATTCTTTGAAGATACCATTCAATTTTTAATACTACAATTTTTTTGAATTCAGAAAAACGAGAAAGTATTATTTATTCATGTATTATAATTAATTCATCATATTCAAAATAAAACATAGCCAGATCTCTCGAATGCTTGAATCAACAAAAGTAAATCTATGATTCTCACAATCAGTACGTTCCAATGTGGATTTTATGTATGTGTTGAGCCAAAGTAAATCGAATAAAACGTATTTTTCCAGGCGTCTGACCAAACTCGGACTGTTTCTACTTATCAGGGGCACGTAGCTCCAGCGCGTTATTGAAACCTCAGATAAACATGGCCTTTTTTTTAATGCAATATCTACCTGGAGGTAAATACTTTTTTTAGAAACAACAATTCGTTCATTTTCATCATTGTTTTTTATTGGCCACAGTAACATTTTCTTCCAAGCCACATTAAGCTGGTAGAGGACCTATTCACCTTTACCAGGTAAACGTGAAAAACAAATTTTTCATACGCAATCAACGGCAGATATGCGCTTCAAAAAATGGTTGTTAATTAAAGTCCAGCCGTGTGATGGTGGAAAAGATCATAAGATTCTTCACAAATAGAGTTTGTTGGGAGAGACGAGAAAAGACACATCTACATTCGACCCGGTAACCGGAAGCGGAATCCTTTGTCAGCGGGTTAATGGCAGTATTTAGCATTACCTCATTTCACCCCGTGTTCGTAGGTATAGTATATCTCTTGCTTGTTGTTTTTAATTAAAACGTTGAATATTCCACGGGAGTCTCCGCGCTAAAAGAATTGCCGAGGTAAATAAAGAGAGAAAAGCGGGTGGAAGTGTACACCTAAAGAGCGCAAATGCAGCAGGAGTGGAGAAGCAGCAAGTCGAGCCAGTCACGAGTGAAGTACATACATTTTTAAATGCGACTCCATTTGAGGCGGCTGCAGGAAGGGAAAACCGGAGGACAAGTACTACGAGAGATGTGTATATACACCTTTTTTGCTCCTGTTTACTCGAATGGTAATGAACGCACTGTCTCCCTTTTCAGCGCTGCGATGCAAATAAAGTCAAGACGAGGATCGCGCCGTCAATTAAAAATCAACCGGCTCTATTTCCCTGCTATTTTTCTTTCCTGATTCGGATTGAGCAAGCTTTCCCCTCCCCATCTGTTTAAAAAGCGACGAACAAATATGACGTGCACGAGGGTAATGGTAAAAAACGGGGCGCGAGTGTCCGTCGAAAAAACAAAGACGCGTCGCTTCGAGCTGGATATTCCGTTCCGCTTGGAGGAAACACTGTAATTTGAGCGTCAGAATAAATTCAATTAATAACACACGGCCACGTTCTCTCTTTTTCCGTCTTTCTCTTTTTTCCCTGGCTTTTGTGTTTCATGCACGAGGCAACAGCCGCTATTTTTTTTGGGATCTCCCTCCCTCTTTCTCTCTTTGCGAGTCGGAAGAGTTTTATTTGAGGATTGCTGAACGTATAATTGCATTAATTACAGTGGCGGACATCAGTTGCTTCACCAACTGCTTTCAATTTTGTCGGATTCCCTCTGGTTTCGATTGAAACATCGATATTGGATCCCCAATTCGTTTGATTTAACTGCAGAGAAAAATCTCTCGTTTCGTGGCGATTCTCTGGCAATAAACGTAAAAAAATTCTCATCATTTTTTTCTAAGCCCCATGCAAGTATAAGAAAAATTATAAAATCCTTGGTTACCCAATTCAGGTAACCTTATACCAGAGCAGCTCGTAATNCGAGAACATTAAAAAATCCCTATCGTGAAGCTCAAGGGGTGAGTGGGAAGGGAAGAAGAGATAATCCTACCGGATGAACAAATGCGCCACGGACCATTAAAAAATTTAAGGTCCACATCCCACAGCTGCTGCTGCTGCTTCTGTTTCTCCTAAGTTTTTTCTTGGCGTCCGCACAACATTGCAGCTGCGCATTATCATTATTGTTTTTTTTGTTTTCCTATTTCTTTACTCTCACAGCTCGTTTCCTCTACGCAGGACAGGACGCAGTACAATTTTTTGTCCATGCACGTGCACGTGAACCTAAAGAATACATGGGGTATAGAAATCCGGATCTTGAATTTACATTTAAAGACATGTGTCCTCCTACTCCTTCCTCTGCTAAACGAGGAACTAAAATGTATTTGAATTTTATGGTTAGTGTCATCTCTTGTTTTACATTGTAGACATGCATATAGAGACATACGTTTAGTACACGAGTAATTTAAACTAGTGCTGATGAGTAGCTCCTTCACCGCATGGAGTTGAGATACGTCTCTGCATTTAGGTATAAGAAATTACTTTCTCGGGACTCAATATCACTCAAGACTACCTGAAGGTAAAATTACTTATATCGAATCTCAAACATTATCGCTTCAGATTATTCGGATTGGCAACGTTACACAAGTGTACCAGTTCTATTTTTCTTCATTTCTCAGGCTTCTCTTGAAAAAGTGACCACAAAGTATTGAAGAACTAAATGTATATGCGAATCTCGGGTTACAAATCCACTAAGCTCATGCCGTTGAATCTTTTTTTATTAATGAGTGACCAAAATCTCAATTTTCGCTCACACAACTAATGATACACATACCAACTGTGTATGCTGCACGTAATAATGACTGCAAAAAAGATAGAGAGAGCCTCGAGTGGGATATCGGTCCTTGACTACGTGAGTGGAAGCACAATGTGGTGATTGTCACTGTGCAACAGCAGCCAGTGGAGAGGACGTGTGCATCTCTACACAGTCCCACCAACACTCGTCCTTGCAGTGTACGAGGGGCGAGGGAAAAGCGGAAGCTCGTGTTACAAACGATCCGTCGTTGCGGGTGGCCAGTCCGTGACCAGCGGCCGGGGATCACGTAGTGCTGCGGTTATTTTGAAGATAACGCACAAGCCCTTCACTTATATGCTCCACGAGCTTATACACATATGTATAGAGTTATACTGTTGTGGCGCATCTGCACGTGGAACTCATGAGGGCAACGTATTGGTTGCCATGTGGTGTTACGTATACGTGTACATAATATGTGCACACCTAAAGGAGTACTGGTTGACCCACTTTTGCCAATTACCCACGGCTCGCATTATTATTTTCAGCTTCAAAAATTTTACGTTTTTATGCGTACTCGAGCTATTTTTTGGTGGTTATTTGTATCAAAGTGAACGTTTCATGGGTTCACCTATCACATTTGCATCTTACAAATCCCTTCTATCTACGAACACCTTAGCTTCTACAAACACTCTGTACGTACTAGCCTTGTTTAGAGGCTGGGGGTGTTTGATTCGAGTCCTTCTTACATTTTTACCCACTCGAGGTTAATGACGCCATTGGAGAATATTAACGAATAATATCGTGACTCAGCTATCACGAAATTAAATAAACGTTGGACTATATTGCGTATCTTTTTAATTTACTTTGTGCGAGGCTATATTTCAAAATATCTTGTACCTCAAAGCCACCCTATTTCCGACTCCTTATTTTCCTTTTTTCCTCCCTTTTTTTTTCTTTCTTTCTCCGTCTTTTTAATATCTAAAAGGTCGTGCTACAGCTGAAAGAAAATGCAAATATGACCAGAGCCCCCAGGTAAGTATATTAAGCTCCTATTTTTCTCTCAAAGCTTCTTTCTGGCGGAATTACGATTTAGTATGCTAAGTCAAGCGATATTTGCATCTACGGTGTGTTCTCAACACATCAAAGGTCGAGAGTTGGGTCGTTTTATTATTTCAGCTGCTGGCAATAAATTAAACATCGAACATGGTCCGGCTGGTTTATTGAAATCCCTACCTCTCTGTTTGCCCGTGTATTCATAGTTTTCTTTTATCATCGTAAAATCATGAAAGAAAAGAAGGTCGCATAAAATTTTCAATACAAACGAAAAATGTTTAAGTCGCCAATTCGCATGGATAACCATTGCGAATAGTTTTTCAAGGTAAATTATGCCAAGTACACACGAGTGTAGTTCAACTGAAAAATATTGGTACGGGTGTAAATAATTCCCAAACAGGCTTACTCTTTATTTTCTTCTATTTTATTACCTTTTAAGAAAATACGAGCGTAAATATCAAAAGATTTTTTTTTTCTTAATCACTTGTTTCTTTCAAAAGAAACTTTAAACCCAACGCAGGCAGAGCTCGAGCTGAATCTGTGTATTTAATTTCGTCCCCCTATAACGGAACAAAGGAGGTGTAATTGGTCGAGCTGAGAAATTAATTTCGTAGTCATTTAACGCGAGATCCGTAATTTGGGGATGAAAATGGGAAAGCGACGAGAGACAAGGAACAAAGCCCAGTGTCGGAAATCAAAGGGGCACGTCAGAATTTGTTCCGACTCACTATCGGATTTCAAGCTCGAGAGAAGAATTGCGGTCGCGCTTTACAATGTCTGCCTATGGGCTTTGGAGGGCAGAGAGAGAGAGAGAGAGAGCCTTGCCCCGGAGAGGAGAAAAGTGGGGTGTCGCAGGAGAAGTTTCACAGGCACGCGAGTCGGAGCAACGCAGTGGGCCTTGGTATGGGACTGATTGTACCGAAAGAGGAAGAATGAGGATGAAAAGGGGAAGGCGATGGTGCAAGCTGCTCACCCTTTGTTCCCCTGCACTGAAAGAGAGAGAGACAGAGAGATTCCACTACGTCTCGTAGTTCGTCGTATGTGTGGTGTGCGGGATCGGATCAGATTGCCGCACGTCGTGGTCTTGGCTATGTACGTATGATCGCTTTTGTGCCTGTGTGTGCATGTGTGAGTGAAGGTGGCGACGATGTGACTGAGGGAGTTTGATAAAAGTTGGGTGTGGCGCTCAAGTGAGAATGTACCCACATCAAGTGTATTTGTAGAGAAGTAAAGGACTTTTGCCTCGATTCGTAGAAATTGTCCACCAAGTGCTTTTTATGGTGAATTTTATAACAATCATTGATTATTAAATAGTCTAATTTTTTTTAAACAACTGCATAACGTGTGGATTTTAAGTTTAGTAAACACCAATTTTATGATGACAGTTGTTTTTTAGTCAGTTTTCCAGTTTCATGTATTTGATGTATGTAGTTGACGGGATTCGGTATTCACATTCAAGTTATTATATACATCAGTGAAATATTGTAAATGATTTTGCTTTCTTTTGTAATGTAAAATATATTGTGAATAAAACAGTAAAAACTCAAACAAGTCCAACAAAAGTGATTGTTTAGTAAACTTACTTTATTGACTTGTGTACATCAAAACCTCGATTATGTGTAAGTCAAGAAAAGACAAAACTTTTTTGTGTACCACATAATTTATGGCTCTCACGTGTTCCTTTTCATCATACAGATTTATAAAAGCAATAAAACTCCGCGTGACAGATTATAACTTTTCGTATTTGTTTTAAAAGCTGCCCGTAGTATTTTACTTTTATCGGATCAAAACTTTTTCGCATCTCTCTTTCTATATTTATTGCAAAGACAAGAATAATAATTGTAGCAAAAGAAAGGTAAAAGGAAAAAAAAACTTTTTCGTCGTGATTTTAATAAAAATACTCTTATCTAATATGCAAATGTTGAACTTGAGAATTCAAAAACTAAGACCCCGGGATTAAAACACGTAGAATCTACTTGGCAGATTTTTTTTCCCCTCATTTTATTGCTCAGGCTCGGGGTGGTATAACAGTCGCTCGTCGACCCCGTAATCTTGCATCCTCACGTTTTACGATGTAATAAGAAAAAGCGTTTATCAACGTACCCGTTACGAGGAGGTGAATTTTCTTCACCAAGGGAGGATAAGTCGCGACTTGGCACTCGTACAATCCAGAATCACGTGGAGTCGCATACTGGATTTTTAGTCTCCAATTCGTTGGATACCTTTGAAAAAAGAAAAAGAAAAAAGCTTACATATACGTGCGAGCTTGACTATCTACAGTTTCCATAGATATTTTCACTTCTATTCCACGCGTACACATTTTGCAGCGAAATAATTATCGTGTGGCACTGTAACAAAAAAAAAAGGAACGTGCTAAATCAATTTACTCACTTGAAGGATAAACTTATTCTCTGATCGACGCTGTACGCGTTGCGGCCGAACGTGAGTAGACGAATGACATCGACGGTGTGGTGTGACCACGTCACCTGCGGACAGAAAAGAGGAAATCGAGTATTAGATAACCCCGACATCCCAGGGCGAATAGGATAATACAGCGTAAGGGGACTTTCGTTTTGGTATCTCATGAATAAATTTTAAAAAATTGTCTTGTCGACGCGACATGCTGCCGATTTTGAAATATACGGGCGCTACGTTTCGACAAATCTGGTTAAATTATGAAGCATCGGGAATATTTAAAGCGAAATGAATTTTACACTTTCTGGCGCTTTTCGTATTTTACGGTCAAACTAGTGAGGACGATGAGCTCGACATGTAATGGTGGTATAAAAATTCTAGAAGCGCTCGGATGTAAATTTTAGTGATTTACGCAAAGTTAAATGCGATATTTTGCTTGTAATTTATGTACATTGAAGATGTAAGGGTCTATTTTTTATTTTTTTTATTTTTTTTATTTTATAATATAGTGAGCCAAGAAATTTTGTAGTCTAGCAAAAATTAATGATGTTTTTTTACTTTTACTATAAAAAAATGATTCAATAGCATTACTTACACCTAAAGCGTTTTAAATATCCATATTTTTTGCATCTTGACAGTGCAACTTTGTAACTTTATTTCCATAAAGGTATAGGGTATATCTTACTAAGACCTTAACAACTAATGTATGATAATATTGCAATCAATTGATAATATACAATATTTTAAATATTTTTTGCAATGGTAAGAGTTTTGAAATTTAAATACTACTATTAAAAAAAACGTTTTAAAAGGATTTTTGTAGGAAAGTGTAAAGAGAACGAAGATTAAAGCAAACAGAAAAAGTATTTTTCATTTACTTCTTTCATTCTGGTAACTCTTTATAAATATGTACTGTTTAAACAATAGCTTGATATTAACTGAGTTGTGAACTTTAGACAAGATCTAAAAAGAGAGAGAAATTTTTAAGAATTTGTATAAACATATTGTTTCATTATTGTTTTATTCATACGATACCTTCAAAAGTAAATTCAATGGTATACAATAGAAATAAGTATTACTTAAAAATAAATCTAACTACAAATATTGCGATAAGTTTAATATTTTAAAAATCAGAAGGAAAATATAAACATATTAATTTTGTAAACAAATCATAGAACTCTAATCTCATTTCACAATGCAAATAGTTACGACTTGTGTCAAAGGAACATTTTATCGGAAAATCATCGAGCAATCTAACAATCCTCTACTTAACGATAAACATACATCTACGACTAACAAGTGATAAATTTTGATTAAGTTAAGCCGTAGTAGTTTCGGTGCGTGCCCTTTTTATGTCCAAAGCCACGTCCCCTTTTCCTGCCAAGCTAATATTGAAAGCCGATAATTCACAATCGACGCCCGGCATTTACCGCATCATTATGTCCCATAAATTCCAATGTAAGCCGGATCGCCATCTATTAGCCGATAAAATCGCCGGAATCCCGGAAAGTATTCGCCAATGACTCGTCGTTTCGAAAAACAGCTGCCAGCATCGCTTATTGCGTTTCCCCGGTCGGAGGACAAAGTCGCAAAACTTGGCTCGACGGCCATCGGAATTCCTCCTCGTATACCTTCCTCCGGAGCGGAGCGAGGCTCAAAAGAAATTATTTCAGTTTACGTTTGTTTCCCGTCCCTGAGGTGCAGGAAGCCGGCACGTACCGAGACGGTACTGATGAAACGCGAGAGGAGGACACAGCACCAGCCACGACTCTCCGAGGAATTTACGAAGAAAATCGAGTCGGCGTGTATCGATTTGCGGTCCCGCTTTGGGAATTTCCTCATGAAGCTGGCAAAGCTTTTGCTGGAGCGTTGGGTTATATACATGTTGGGGTGCAGTACCAACTATATCATTGATACCGGTAACAGTGGGTGGTGGTGTCGGTGCACTCATCAACTGCAGCAGCTATGAAGATTCTGGATGAGAAATAGGTATATGCGGATTATCTGATACATGAATCACGTCTCGTGATCATCGTTTCCATTGAAGGTGCTTTAACTGTAAGTACTTGTGCGATAAAGTATAGCGACGCCAATGCTGCTAACTAGCTACCACAGCTTTTAACGAGTTGAGCGTGGCATCGTTAACAAACCAATAATATATATCGACAGAAATGGCTGTCAGTTGCCATGTACAAAAAAAAGTTTGAAAGTGCGTGAGGCCTCTAAACTTAGGAATGATAACTTACAATTAAAATTTGAAGTGCAGTACTACAAAAAATAAACTAAAAAATATGTTAGGATACTCATTCAGAGCGTGTGTAGCTGAAACAAATGAGGTAACCATTAATAACCGTTTAAAAAATGACGAATTAAATTTAAGTCAGTAAACCAGCTGCAAATCCTATGACTGGATGTTTCAAGTTTTAAGAATTTTTCATCACTAAGTCACAACTTGTAGAGTGTATTTTAAAATACAGTCAAAGAAAATTCGAGTTTATTTTTGAAGATCATCTTTCAATGATCAAGCCATGTAGATAATAATGATGACAGGACTCACCGTTTTGTTGCCGAGCATGCCGATTTCGCAGTCCAAAATGACGGTGTTGCCGATCCGGGCCGTCATATTCAGCTCCTCCTGGCCGTCCTCGAAGTACGGCGTATATTTTCCCAGCGCCGAGGGAACATTCGGCTTGACGATTTTACCCCCAAAATAACCTGCCATCTGCGGAGACATCATGATGTATACAATGAATAAAATAAACCTCCACTACATGAAATCAAATCGAAAGTTAAATGTTACAAGAAAATAAAATTTATTGTACTTTAAATTTTCTTCACAATTACAGACAGATATCAGAAAATTGAGGAAAAAAAAAGAGTTAATCTCACCTTCGTAATGACCTTTTGGGCGGGCTTGATTTCATGAAAATTTCCACTAAGCAGTTCATTCCTCGTCCTCGAGCTCTTCCCTCCTGGCTCCGAATTCATCGGCGCTATGCTAGCTGGCTTAGCCGTTGCCAACCTCGTGGTTGCTACCGACGTCGTCCTGAGCATCGGCTTTGAAAATTCAATGGGCTTCGTCGTAGTCGTGTCAATAGCCTTGACTGTCGTCGACGCTGCCTCTTGAAAAATACTGTTTCGCTTATTAGTCGTCGTCGTCATTGCTGTCGGCGACAGCGTAGTCGTCGTTGTCGTCGGTGTTTCCGATGTGTAATGATCCGTAACGTTATCGACGAGGCCTATTAGCTGCTCCTGATGCGGTTGGTTCTGGAGACCGATATTCTCCTGGATAATATTATCGGATCGAGGGGCCGTGGCGGGCTTATCGGTGCTGGCTGTGACAGTCTCTCTATCTGTAAGGTTTACCAACAAAGTCATAATTAGACAAATAATAAAATTAACAAATATTAATAAAAGTATGATACATTCTTGTGTAAGTAGAGTAAGAAAAAGGATGAACTTTACAAGAATTGCAGGGCTAGTGTAACTGATGTTGGTAAAAGTAATAACAAGTACGATGAATCATTGTTGAAATTTTAAAAATTTCAATAGTTGAAAGAAACACTTTTCTACAAGTGATATGATATCAGCTAAATGTTATTTTCAACAATAGGTTGCCAATAATGACTGTGCAAGTAATTTATCGTCAAAAAATCATTTTTTTGGTTTTTCAGGATAAAAAAAAAGATAATTTATAAAATAATTTGAAATCATAATAAAACAGACAGGAAGTGTAAGTTTTATTACATTAACAACATACAAGGCTGGTTGTAAGGAATTCTATTTTCATATTTTTCAGGGTGCACTTTTTACAAAATTAAAATAGTAGTTCTACTGAACCATCCAAAAATGCAAAAAATTAAATTTTGCAAACAAAAACTTCTTTCGAACACTCGAAGCACCTTTTAATCAATTTTTTTTCATTTGAAAATTCTGATTACGTCTGATGCCACAAATTAATAAACAAAGAAATTTAATACATAAATAAATATTAAATATAAAATTTCGTATCAAATTTTACAACAATAAAAAATACGGAAACTAACAAAACTAACCAACGACATAATGGCTGTTAATTCCAGCAGTAGGCAAGCCTTCGATACTACTACTTGTCGTTGTAGATACGTCGATGGTTTTAGGCGTTTCATCGGTTCCGTTTCGCCAACTCATCCTCTGATCGGCAACCACTTCGACAGAGCTCGATATCGCCATCCAGCTACTGCTGCTCCTTGCTGTTGTGGTGGTAACAATCGTGCTGCCACTGTTAATCGAAGTGACGGTCTCGGTTACGTTACCTCTCGTACCTTCAAAGAAACAAGAGGCAAAGTTTTGGGCAGTCGTACCAATGTGAAATAGGACGAGAATGTAAAGATGCGGTGCATAAATTTATTTGAGTAAGTGGTTAGGATTAATGTGGTATTGTCATGAGAGGCGGATGGAGTTGAGAATTTGGTAATGAATTGGTGAAAACTTTGAAATATTACGGTTAAATAGACGACAGATTGCGGTAAGTATCGCCGACGGGAGTTCATAAAGCAGTGGGATGAAGATAAATGAGAAAACAGACATAAAAAAAAAAGAAGAGGGGAAATAAATGGAAAGATAAAATATATAATTTATCATGGAACTGGGGTTCGCTGAAAATTTCCAATAGGAACGTGTGAAAAGTGGTGAAGCGATGAAGTAAAAAGAAAGTAAATAGGTACGGTTTGAGTTGAAAATATTTTTTAAATTTGTTTTTTCACGTATGAATTGAATGCATGTCTGCTTATTCAGTTTTAAATTCAATCTTTTCCAAGTGTATAGAAGATGGAATATGTTTCCAGGAAAAAACCACAATATTTCCTTTAAAATTTTTCCGATTGAATCGACTCCTGTAACGTTTGGTTATGAAATACATCGAAATGAAAAGACATTAAAAAAATGTAACTTGCTCTTCCAGAGGAAGTTAAAAATATGTTCAAAATTGAGTAAGCAAACATACCTATAAGCAATTTACAATTTCGTTAAAATGAGCCAACAGAGCTATTTATTTATTGTATAAGTGACTCCTAAGCACGAAAAATGCTCTTTCCAACTTCTTTCATCTTATCGTGTTCTCAGCCCCTTACTCCTATTATTTTAGTATCGCTTCCCTCCTTCACAGCAGGTCAAGCATTTAAGCGTCTTAAGGTAGCCCTCGGCGTGCAGCCCCTCCCTCCACCAAATGTGCTCCTACAAATCTTGGAGTAAAGGAGAAACCTTTTCGCACTTAAATGGCCGTGGAGTTTTTACTTCTTTTCGCAGGAGCTGCATGACTCTCTGCTGCTGTTACATTTGGTGCACCATAGCGTACGCGTATACAGTGCAGTGGTAGAAGATCTCGCTCGATCGGGTACAGGAGATTAAGGCACGCGAATGACCTGCCGGCTATGAAAGGCTTTGGTGAAAGCTCCGGGCGCCACCACCGCCGCTTCGATTTTTTTCGTCCTTCCGCCTGTACGTGGACATATTTTACGGCCATCGCTCCCACTATTTCTCTCGCGCCCCGTTCCATCTGCATTAAAAGTCAAACGTTAAGAAGATCAGTTTTTATCGACGACGGTTTTTTCGCTCGCCTTTTATTGCGGAAAAGGACATAATCCGATTGTGAGTCACGAGGATTGCTTTCCGTGATACGATATCTTGCGATCCCTTTCTCTCATTCTCCGGAAAGGTTTAAAAACTTTGCTTATACAACTTAATGATTTTTACATTATATTATTTTTACATGCTTTTCAAAGGCTCTTTGCAAATTTTGAATCACCTAAAAATTGTTCCACGATAGGGTAAATGTATTTTTTACTCAAAATGAAGTTCTCTCAGAGATTAGGTCAACCATTGTATTATCAGATCGATTACACCAGTTTAAGTATACAATTTTTGAGTTTATTACCATATGATCGACAAAGCTTCATTTTTTTCTCAGCTCCTTCTCACGATCTACTTCACAGTGATTTCATGTGTATATATTTACGAACAACGTAATATTGCTGCGGACACACAAGTGCAGTGTACATTCCACAGCTAGTGCAGCTTCCCTCCATCGCTACACTGTGAAAGTAATTTTGCTGGAGAAAAGTGTCACTCTTTACGACGGTAACTTTAGCGTCTTCTTATCGATCTGACACTTCCTTTTATTGTCCTACCCTCTTTCTCCTCTTTTATCTCAGTGCGCACCCTCTACGTCGATCATATACGTTATACACATGCGGAGATCACTACGTTAAGGGAAAAATGTACTTGTTGACTCTATACATAGACGAGCGTGTCTGTGAAATTCCCATTTTTCCATTTTCGAGGAAAAACAATCATTTTTACTTTAGGCTCGAAAACATCTGTACGATGGAAAAACTTTGTTAGTTGACCACACACTGTGGTATAGTTTCTGTTGATGTTGTTTCAAGTCTAAACAAGCCCCATCTGTAGGTATAGTATACCATGAATACGTATATGCATGAATTTCAAACAAGTTGTTCTTGTTATGCAAACTATGAAATTTTATCGTTAAACTTGATAGCGTTTCACTTGTAAATGCTTAAGAAATCCTTGATAAGCATGTTATTTTTAGAATTAAAAAAAATGTTATTGTGGGTGCTACATTACATTTTATATTTTTTGAATTGATTTAAGGTAATGAAATTTAATGGCAGCAGTAACGGAAAAATTATTTTTACAATTTTAAACTATAAAAGCACAGATGCACTGTACAAAAAAATTATCTATTATCTGATACAGTTTTAAGCACATATTTCATGAAATTTAAACAATTTTAATTCAAACAAAAATTAAATACTTTTAACAAGTTTTCTAAATTTGATGAGATATTTTACATTTCATATATAATTGTATGTTAAAGTACATATTCCCAAATTATTGATTCTTTGAGTAACATAGTGCTATTCAGAAAGAAATTACATACTTTATCGTCTTAAATTTCCACATCACCTCACAATATAATATGTGCTCATTCAATCAGAAATTTCAGTAATCGAATAATAATTTACTGATACATACACGTCTCTACACGTACAGAACATAGATTCCGTCCAAGTTTGGTACTTGGAGTAAGTATGCCAAGTTTCGAATTTCACTTATATATAAAGGCATCCACTGTAATTCTATAAGCAGGTCTCGGATAACCCTGTCTTAGGTAACTTTTGGTGAACTCCGTGGTCCGCCACATGCATACGTGTGTGTGTATCACGCGATCGGGTATTACGTCCACGTACCTGCCATCGTCGTCGATAATATCAACGCGGCCAGCAGCAGTGCAGCTGGGCTCGGACTCGCCGAACTCATTGCCATGTGCGTTATGGGCACTCGACTTTGGTCCCGCACTCCTTCACCTTCTCTTTTAATCCTCGTCCTGGACAATATGTATTCGTATCCCTTTACCGGTACTGTTTCGTCCTACTCAGCCTTTCGACGTTGATCCCATTTTCTCCTGGTAACTTTTTTTCCTGGAACAGTAGAAAAGAGAAACTCATGTTATCGATATTGATCATCAATATTATTTCTGTGAAGAGTCACATAATTATTTTTAGTCACTGAATTTTCTTGAATACTATTTTTGTTAAAAGTAGAATTTTTTAAATTTTACTAAACAATTGTAATTATGAAATAGTTTTGTGATAGCAATTTGAAAATTGATTAAAGTTGCAATAGTTTAAAAATAGTAATTACTGAAACGTTTTGTAGTTGAAAGTATTTCATGTCCTAACCAATTAAAAAATGATCTCAGCTTTTTCAAGAAATAACTGTAACCAAAGATATTTTAATTCAATTTATTTTGGTCGAATGTACAATTATTTTAGAAATAAAGATTTCAATTTTTTTCAATTACTGTACTTCAAATCCTGTCGTACTTATACATCTGAAACTCACGTGTAGTGCTTGTCCTTCAGTGTATCGTATACACTAGTTTAATATTAGCTTCACTTGTTTGTGTGTACTTTTAGCTGCTCGTGTACGTCACCATTCAAATACACGATTTAAAGGACCCTACCTTCTGCCTGTGCCTCTGCGTGTGTGTACCGTGAGGTATCTAACAGCATCAATGTTCTCCCACTAGCTACATTTTTGTTTGTAAACCTCTTTGCATTGCATCAAGACTTTGAACTACGAGGATGTTCAGAATTCATGTTTGTGCATGCACCTATTACGTCCTGCATACCTAACCCGAATCGAATTTATCTGTCTCAGGATAAAAAAAGGGATTTAGGACGTTGAAGCCAAGAAAAATTTTATGACTTGGCAAAATTTTCAGACGCAACTGACTGAGATGTGAATGTTTTTAAAATCATCCGACAAAAATTCCTCAAGTTGCAGCACATGTTGCTTTTAAATTAAAATTTTGATCGAAATACTAAGCTCTGATTGGCATCAGTTAATATTCCTCTAACTTTTAATGAGGCGTGTGTACATATTTATTGAGGGATATGACAATTTTGGTACATCGGATTTATAATTTTCGATATCTGATTTGGGAAGGACATAATCCCATCACATGTAATTCCAATCAACTGAATGTTAACTGAAGTATCTATATTGCAACAGGAAAATCCCTTTGACAATGATAAATTTTTTTTTTATTAATCAATTTATCATCCAATAAGTTCAGTACTTTGCACAAAGTAATGTCCGTTCTATCACTAACTTCCTTTTAAATCTTCATTTGACATGATAGTTTTTTTCTTCAAAAGATTCATGTTTGTCAACTCGCACCATGCAGGACATAAATAAGAATTCGGATGCAGAGATTGGACGAAAAATTCTTCCAGATAAATAAGAACAGATGGGAAAAAAGCATTAAGCGTATTGGACACTCCAATCAACAGATTTCCGGAAGGGGTTGGGGCCGAGGTGGAGGGGGTTGGATGTCGAAAGCAACTTTAAAAAGCTTTTGCGCCCGAAACTTGGAAAATATTTTGACGCCTGATGAAAACACACAACCGATGCTTGAAGAGAGTTTCGTGCAACAACTTTTGCAGTTTTCCATCCCGTGCGTCGCTATTACGTAAATAAACACGTGCGACGTCGATGGGGTGGATGGGAAATAAAGGGGCTGCCGAACGAAGGGTACACGTGAAAAACAAAACGTGGAGCAAACAACGCGCGCGACGCGCTAAGTGAAAAAACAAAAGACGAGAGTAAAAAAAAATGGAACTCATTCGGCAAATGGTTCATCAAACGTGTGCGCAGCTTGCCTCATCGTTCCTCCATTTACTAATCACCCCTGGCTCTCTTTACGGTACCTCGACGAGCTTTCAACTTTTGTAGCTCTTGTTCTCTTTCTCCCTCTACCGGCTACGGTCTTTAGATGATTCTAAACATTATTGTATACCGTACTTTGCTTTTTTTTTTATCACGGAAAGAGCAAGCTGTTAACGAGACTAAACTTTACCGCTCAGTGGAAAAAAAAAAAAATTTCGCCAGCAGCTATAATAGACATAAGCGAATAAATTATCAATCTAAAGTGCCGGAAAATTCAAAAGCTCGTGTATACATAAACTTTAAATATAAAGCTTGAACTTCATTATAATCACATTCTTGTGTCCGTCCCTTGCGTGTATGGTGCACAAAGCTCGTGAGACTTTCCATCGGCACTAAGTGTATAGACTTCCGCGTGAAATTTTACGGCTAATATTACCTTCTACTGCCTTTGTAACTACAGTAATTGTATTTTGGAACTTTGAATGCGTGCGAGAACCACTGCCCAGCGACGAGATTGAATCATGTGTATCAATGGTGGTTGTGTAACATTATGCTATGCATCGTTTATGCAGTTGTCAGCCGACCAAATTGTACTCGAGTGCTCGAATTGCATTGTCTTTTTACCAGATTATCATGATAATAATTTTTTGAAACAAAGTGTAACGAGTGGCTCAAATCAACGTGCAAAATCATTAAATTTTGCCCTCCAATCAGAGGGTGAATGTGTACGAGTAATAAAATCAATCGGAGAACTGTTCCATGCAAATAAATTTTAAAATCAACGAAAACAAGCTGTCGGGGTATGGATTTAATTACCAGTAAATATGATTGGTGGCTTATTTACCTACCATACAGTCAAAATGGTCATTGTTGCAGCTCGGAATATGCACTTGTTTGGATTAAGGTGGAAAAAAAAAAAAAAAAAAACTGGCCATCACCAACATAATTGCATTGTAAAATAATACGAGGAAAATCGTGTACGTGCTCTGACGTATGTAACCAGAGTCACCCCGATGATCAGCGAGGAGAGCAGCACTCAATTGATTCGCGAGCCAACAACAGACAACCTCTACAACAAATACGTGCCATTAGTGCGGAGTGACACTCGTAAACTTGAGAAAAGAATCTGCGGAGAGGGAGTGTACGGGTGTGTGTTTTCCCGACAAGTTGTTTCGCCCAAAAGCTTAAGCCACGAGCACTGGCCCGCTTCGTCGCCAGCTTTCCGTATAAGCGGACTAAAGTTTCGCGCACCAGTGTGCCCTTAGCCCTGCACTCCGGGCTTCGGTGTAAAAGTTACGCGCTTTTCTATTCATAGGCTACTTTGCGAGAGCCACGACCGCGTAAACTTTCAGGATTAATTTAAATTACATAAATCACGGGTGAATTGTCGGCGTTGCCGTTGCGGGGTGTTTGTAAGTTTCCTTGATCCCTTAACGAGCACAATGTGTATTTACGGCCACACAAAAGCTGGAAAATTAAAAGGTTTTGGGGTTTTGTCGACGCCGTTGTATCGTTACTTTATCGGAGGGTACGTTTGGTAAGACATTTCGTACAGGTATCAGCGATTAGACCCTCGAAAACATTTTCTTATCCGTATGGTATTGCGATGTACCTCGAATACAACCAAAAAGAAAAATGTGCTAAATTAACGCATAGCGTGGGCAAAAAAAATTTTGAAAAAAATTACGTACTCTCGAATGGATGGGGATAAAGGAGAAAGACAGGGGGAGTATTATCGAGCCACGTGTCAATTACACGCGTTCGTATGCATCACGATTACTCAGCAGCACAATCCAAAGTGTACCATCACAATCGCGTCATGAACATAGATACCCCCACGGAGGAAGAGATAGAGGTGTACGTATGACAAATCAATAATGGTGCGAGTCACAATGTAGATTTCCACGTGGTCTATAGCTATGCCGCTTATTCTCGATGTCGATAGAAGTGGCAGTAACAGCAGCAGAGAAGCGAAATTGAGCGCGACGGTTCGCAGTTGCAATAATATCAGCAAAGGTATACGGGATTGGTGTAGTATATGCAAATGCATCGGCACGACCCTCGTTCTCATCTGTACTTGTGTATACACGCATACCTTATCCATGTGTATACAATATATTTTGGGTTGAACGAGGCTCCGAACACACGATGTTTTGCGAGTGCATCAGTTTGCTCGTACCCTCGGTATGCACACGTACGTCCCAAAAGCTCGGAGATTTGATCCACTGCTTAATTTGAGACTTATCGCGAGTATAACGTTACAGGTCTCGCTTCCCGCATTTGGTAATTGGCTTTGTTTCATAAAAAACTGGAAAGTCACGAGTGACAGGAAATTAACAATTCAATCTTGGGACAAGAGCCAATAAATATTACTTCCTCGTTAACGTTTCTTGCAATTACAAGTACTGAAACAAATATCGTGCCATCAGACATTCTGTCACACTCCTATGACTAAGTGAGTACATCGCATGTACTCTTTACTTATCGCAATCTGATGTTTCATTATACTTTCAAAGCAGATGGGAGGCGGGATAGTACAGGGATTAAAACGTTACTTCCCCTCTCCCCACGAAGGTACTAATATTAAATACGATATGTGTGAGTATAACTGCAGCTGCGAGTTTCGAGGGATTATGAGCATGTACTTTTTTGAGGATGGAGATGATAAAAAACGGGGCAAAAAGTGAGCTATTTGCACTTAAGGCTCAATAATTTTCTTTCCACGTGCTCCTTTATTTTATGAACATGACTATGTGGATGAGATCAGCTGCAATTCAATTACAAAAGCAACGGTTAGCCCAACTTTTTAATTTAATCAGGATTTAAAGTACCCCAATCGTGCAAATTCAATTCAACAAATGGAGTATCACGGGGAAACGGATAAAACACGGCAACTAATCGTTACGGAATTGTCCTCGATTTAACGGGATTCCGCGGTCCGTGTTGCAAGAGGGAAAAAGGGGGGAGGGTCGGGGGTGCGAGGCTTGGGAGCCAGTGAGAGCGCAGAGGCGCCCCAATTACCCGGCGAGTGACTCTACCGGCAATTAATGATTAGCATTATCTTAAATTAATCGGCCAAGCTGTCCGGGGATTGTCCCCCTCCTCGTCTATTCATAGCTGGTGCGATTCGGG